GGAGTCCTCCAGTAGCCAAGCGGTCATTGACCTTTGGCTCTGCAAAGTCTATGCCAGTATGTTGAGGGTCGTCATTTTGAGGGGAAAGGGAGAGTGTCCTGAATTTAGGCAAGAAGACAGGCTAAGCCACCTTATAAGAACCGAGGTCCACATGGTGGGGATTCCCAACGAGACCGTGCTTTGATGAAATTGTCTTTTATTTTACTTGTAATTAAAATTTGTACGGCACTTGAAAAACAATAAGGTCGTGATAAGTGCCAAAAATTATAGGTGTTACAAGGAAGTAAAACCCCCCACCAAAAACACCAAATAGAAGGAGGAGAGATCAGGACGATAGATGTTTGATAAGAAAGAAGAAGCAAACTACACTACCAGAGCACCCGCCAACCACAAGCTGAAACTGTCTGTATTGGTGTGAAACTGTCTGTACTTGTGTGAAATTGTACTGCTGTGGTATAGTGTATTGTGATGTGTTACGTGGTACTAGGCGTAACCGTTGCATTATATTGCATAGCTGCCAAATTTTCAAACCCAACAAACTCATTGCTTTATTGTTTTAGTAAGAGTTTTACTGCACTTGTAACACAATAAGGTCATATAAGTGCCGAAGATTTGAAATGTTAAAAGAGAGTAACATGCACAAAAAAGTAGGAGAGGAGATAAGGACTACAGATGTTCGATAGAAAAGAAGGAGAAAACTACACCAGAGCACCCACCAACCACCCATCAACAAATTCAATCCATGCGGCCGGTCAAATTGGTGGGCATTGGCCATATAATTCCCCTCCAAACCCTTCACACACACACACACACTTTTCGACATTCGATAAATTCAAACTATTCAAAGCAGACCTGCATCCATGAGAGAAACGTTTAGTAAAGTTCTCGCCATCTGACTTTAGGGCTTAGTTCTCATTAGTACTCGCAAATACGATCTTGTTTATAAGTTGTCTTCAACATTCGCAAGTCCGTTAGGATCTGAACTACAAGACTAAGAGTAGGCATTTTCTTAACCGAAAACATACTTCTGTACTCAGACCCTCAACAACGTATTAAAACATTTTATGATTCTATGGAGTGCGGAGGTTACAGAATTTCGAGTAGCATGACGATTTTATGTGTTTGTAATAGCTCAGATTATGTACAAGTTTACTGGTGTAGTATAGCATTTATTGAGGGCGCTCCGTTAGTTCGGTAGCTATCATGCTAGACTACGCAGTGGGTGGCCTCGGTTCGAACCCCAGCCAGGGCGTTCTTGAACTCGGGGTCGTTTGGTGGAGTGGTCAAGGCTCTCAAACCATCTGGCTCGGTCCTATCGGAGATGGACGTTAACTTCGGAAGTCCCATTTCTTTAATAACCTAATAGTGTTGATAGGGGTGTTAAAACCCTATACACGTACATAACTGTACGCGCACAATTTATTTATTATTTCCTCAAAAACTTATACAATGCGTACGTTCCGAAAGAAGTTAAAGAAATACTTATCACATGAAGAGGCATTCAACCCTGACACATTCATGAGTCATCTACGACACTTAATCGTAAACTCTTGTATGCCCTTTGGCCTACAGCCTGACAACAACGCCGTTTACTATTCGAATACTCGAGTAGCCACTCCGAATGGGATCGATTCCAAGATTAGTCACTGCAACGAAATATTGAACGCGGTTGTGCAGTTGAACCTGATGATGAGTAAGGCAGTGACGTACAGACAGGCAAACGGATAAGCAGACAGACATACAGAGAGTGTGGTAAGATAGATAGACCGTGTGTTAGACATTAGACATACTTTCTTCAAACAGAGATGTATTGTGGGCAGACAGGACCTCGAAGGAAATCTCAAGTCAGAGAGACAGATTTTCAGACAGACAGACAGACAGACAGACAGACAGACAGACAGACAGACAGACAGACAGACAGACAGACAGACAGACAGATTTGATATGACACACATATCTTGCCACAGATGGACCTTGTAAGTGGGGCAGACACAGAGATGTTAGAACAGACATAATCATCTCATGACGGCCAACAGAATTGGGAGAAGAAAAAAAAAGTGAAAAACAGACATATTTGTCGGGAAAGAAGCAGTTGTACACAACAAACAACTAATCATTGTGACAGACAGACAGATGGACTGACAATAAACAGCAGACCTATATAAAACAGACAGCTACAGACAGATGGACTGACAATAAACAGCAGACTTATATAAAACAGACAGCTACAGACAGATGGACTGACAATAAACAGCAGACTTATATAAAACAGACAGCTACAGACAGATGGACAGGCTGAAAGACTGACTGCCTGACCAACCGACTGACAGACACACAAAGAGACAGACAGACACACAGACGGAGAGGCCAACCGATCAAACTACTGACCGACCAACTGACCGAAAGATGGACAGACGAACACACAGACAGACAGACACATAGACAGATACACAGACAGAGAGAAAAACCGACCGAACTACTGACAGACCAACTGACTGACGGATGGACAAACAGACAGACAGACAGACAGACAGACAGAGGGACAGACAGACAGACATACGGACGAACAGACAGACAGAAGTCTCACCTGAGAGTACTGAGGGTTTCATCAAAGTTGATGTCTGCAGGACTCAGAGCGGCAACCATGGCGGTCTTGGAGTTACCACCTACAAGGACAAAACGACACACAAAAGGTTACAGCAAAGTCTTGTCTATTTGTTTGGGTATAAAGATGCTCATCTCCACAACAGGGGCCTTTTGGTGCAATGGAAGAGCAGGAAAGACGGATATGAACCACACTTGGGAACGAAAAGAAGTAAACCCCTACATGATGCGCCCTCCAGCCATCCAAAACCCACAGCAAGATCGCCATAATACGATCATTGCAGGTCCAAGAAGGCAGTTTATGACCAAAAAACCACTGTAATTCATTTGAATGTGGGTTTTTCACACTCCGATTGACACAATTTAGATCAAATAGCTTTGATGCTGTCTCTCAGAGCCAACCCAGGTAGAGACAGATACAATGCCTCAACAGAAAGACCCCTATACTTGGAAAAAAAATTCTCCTTATATGGGAATTAAACTCGAGTCTTCTGTTCTGCGCACGATGACTAAGTGCCTGACTGCAACACCACAGATGGAGGTCAACCCTAAGCTAAGGGGTCAAAAAAAAGGAGAGTGCATACACAGCAGCACCCACCAAACACCCCACAGGACAAAAGACTAAACGTATGAGAGCACCGAGCAACCAGAAACTAGAACTTATCTATCTGACTATTCACCCATCTCTCCTTGTATCACACACACACACACACACACACATACACACACACACACACACAGAGACACACACACACACATACACACAC